CCCTACCCCTACCACTAGTTACCCACAGATAACCACTAGTTCGTTCCCTGCATCTATGAGTCTGTTTGTATTTTGTTATATTCATTCGTTTTATTTTTTAGATTCCACATATAAGTGAAAACATACAGTATCTGTCTATCTTTGTCTGACTTATTTCACTGAGCATAATATCCTCCAGACCCACCCATGTTGTTGTAAATGGCAAAATTTCTTTCTTTTTAAATCGAAGTATAGTTGATTTACAATGTTGTGTTAATTTCTGCTGTAGAGCAAAGTGATTCAGTTATACATATATATGCATTCTTTATATATTCTTTTCCATTATGGTTTATCATAGGATATTGAATATAGTTTCCTGTGCTGTACAGTAGGACCTTGTTGTTTATCCATTCTATATATTGTATAATAGCTTACATCTGCTAACCCCAGCCTCCCACTCCATCCTTCCCCCAACTCCCTCCCCCTTGGCAACCACAAGTCTGTCCTCTATGTCCATGATTCTGTTTCTGTTTCATAGGTTCATTTGTGTCATGTTTTAGATTCCACATGTAAGTCATATCATATGGTATTCAGCTTTCTCTTTCTGACTTCACTTAGTATGATAATCTCTAGTTGCATCCACGTTGCTGCAAATGGCATTATTTCGTTCTTTCTGTGGCTGAGTAGTATTCCATTGTGTGTGTGAGAGAGAGAGAGTGTGTGTGTGTGTGTGTGCGCGCGCGCCACATCTTCTTTATCCATTCATCTGCTGATGGATACTTAGGTTGCTTCCATATCTGGCTAAAACTGAGTTGTCTTAATACATGTACAGTTAAATGGCTATATAAATTCAGGGAAGGGAGAGACTATTTCTAGCTGATAGAACCAGGAAGCTTCATGGACGAGATGGCCCAAACTAGTAGTGATCCTTTTTCTCTCATCTTCTTGCCCATTTCAAATATCTCTATGTAATATTTCAGCAGGGAAAAAAACAAAACTAAAACAAAGTTAAAATCCTGAGTGATTATCCAAAGAAAACACCAGATATGATATGTACACCAATACCTAGGAGCCTGAAAAATCCAATGAGTGGAAATTTAACATTATAGGCAGACACTGGCACAGAAATGATGGCAGTTTTCGGCAAGATTTCCTTTCCTCCTTCCTCTGCATTATATTCACTTCACTTGATAATACACTGGCCTACTCTGGACAATGTCCCCAGACAGACCTAGAATTTGAGGGTTTTATCTGTTCTGACCACTCTTCCCCAAGGTGAGAGTGTGACATTTTAGCAGTATCTTGCGAGATACTGTGCTGGGGTTGAGGTAGGAAAACCTGGATATAAATGGATGGACCAGTATCACTGAAATAAGGAAAAAATTCAAGTATGTACTCGCTGAGCCTTGGGTAGGGGCAATGGCAATCAGGTAGGGAATGCTGCTATTGCTGTGGTGATGCAGAAGACTACTTTTTACTGCACTTCAATGAAACAATGAAGCCTATGATCTTGGAGTTTATAAAAATGGAATTTGAATTGTGATTGCTATTTGTACTTCTATATCCATATGGCAAAAGAGGCAATTAGAAGCATCTGAGAAACTTCTGGTTTAGCTCCTCAAATGAATAATACCAAATAAAATTCTGTAATACAAATTAATTAGGATCTAAATACTGAGTTTTATTTTAACAATAAGCCACAACAATATCCTCCTAATTAATACACAATAAATGACTAGTTATATCTGTTAGCTAACTTAGCTATGTCTTAAATTTGTGTGGGCCAACACTTTAGATACCCACCCACAAAGGAGCTAATTAAAGTACAAAATAAAATGAACTGGTTCATAGGTCCATCCACCACTCTTATATAATTTGGTGGATTTACTTCATTCATTAATTTATTCATTCACTTTTACTGAACAACACAGGAGCACTGCCCTAGGCAGAGAGAGAAAGAGAAACAGAGACACTGACAAACTCATGATTCTTGCCCCAAAGGAACCTACAATCTAGGAAAGAAGATAAAATATATTTGCAAATTACACAATTCTTAAGAGTGGTTCAGCTGTTGCAGAAGACTGGAGGGGGATAGATAGCACTGCCAGCTGAAGAGGTCAAGAAATGATCTACCTGAGCTGGGCATAAGAGAACAGGTAGGTTTGAAGCAAGGCAGAAGATATAAGACGGTTGCAGAAGGTGAAGAGAAGGAGTGAGGTCAGTGCAGGGCAAAGTGAGTCTCCACTTTGGATGGAGCTTAAAGCTCCAGTGGGAAGTTAGATTGGGCCTGTAGCATGAGGTTGGAGAGCTCAGCAGTGCTTTTTATTGTTTTTATCAGCTTCCTTTTCTCATTTTCCACAGCAACTATTCCAAACTCTCATTATTCACCTCTCTCCCTTCCCCTCCCTACCATAATCATCACATTACCACCTAACCTCTGACCTGATAGAAGAGCCTTTCATCAGAGCACCCCTCACTTTCTCACCCGTTACTCCCCAAACCAAAATATATATTCAAGCTCAGCCTTGCTTCCTGCCTTAGAAAATGAGGAATCCCCTTAAGTTTGTTTCTGTTCCTAACCCCTCCTGATTTCTCAGAAAATTTGCTCCATCATTAATCCACTTCTCTTCCAGCTTTTCCTCTATTAAGTTTTCTCAGCCTTTAAAAACACTCAACTCCCCTAGTATCCTTGATGTGGCTTCCCCTTCTGTTGACTGCTCCAGCTCTCTCTTCTCCTTTATCAGCAAATTCCCTGTAGGAAGCATCTAAACTTGCTGTCTCCACTCACTCCCATCAATCTGCACTCCACTCGCATCTGGTTTCGGGCACCCCCATTCCTGTGAAACTACTCTAAGGTCAACAAATACATCCTAGTGTTGTACCCAGAGGATTCTTCTAAGGCTTTATATCCAAAGATTCTATTGGCACCTAGAATTTCAGATAAGTTGCTAATGTTTTAGAAAATGAATCCATCAAAGTCCACGAGTACTGAACCTTGCAAATTGGCCAACTACTGCTGAAAAAGACTGATTTAGATGAAATCAATATTTGTCAATACATATCAAGGGACTCCCTATCTGGGTTTTGAACGTTAAAAACACGGTTTAAGGCGCAGCTATTAAAGTTTGGGGTAGGTATTAGGGGATGGGGCTTAGATTTTATGGCTAACTCTGTAGATCACTAGGGGTGACAGGCACTAAGTAAATGGTCCCACACACAAAAAAACTGCAATATAAAATTATGGCCATTTACAGCCATACACAGAAAAGGCAAGATTTTTTTAAGTCAAAACCATTTGTAAAAACACAAATAAGATATTTCTCCAATGATTATTTCTTAGGAAACAGCTTTGTAATTAGGATGAATCATACTTTTTTCCTACTATATGCCATCATACAGTTCTGCAAATACCTCACTCATGGATCAAAAGAGATGTAAAAAAAGACATAAGATGCAATTATTTTTACTGAGTCTTCCTTTAAATTGAACATAATTAATACAGAAATCTCAAAATAAAAGACTATTTTGGGATGACTATGGTGATGGAAAGCCAACAGGTCTTATTTTATCTGAGAACAAGTAGTAAACTGCTTAGGAAGATAACCAACTCTCTTAGAATACTAAGAAGGGAACAATTTACTCACCAGTCCCAGAATATTTATAGTCCTAAATACTGCCTTCACAACTCCCACCATTCCTGACTCCTTTTATTTTTTACTTTGTTAGAAGTGAGACTTCACAACAACCAAGACTACCTCTCTAACTTTAGCTCTTACCACTTAAAAGGATGAACTTTGGGTTCCAGTCGGGGCAGTCTCCAACACTGGATCTCCAACCCCGACTGTACTCTCCCAGTATCTTTAGCAAATCAAATCCTGTTGCTCCTCAGGATCTAATTCAAGCCCTGGTTCCCTAAACTCTCCCCTTGCTCTGCCAGTTCACTTCCATCCTTCTCTTCTGCCTGGTATACGGTCTCCATGGTACTTGATCATACACTAACTTTCCAAATGTGAACACACGAAGATGTTCATCACAATTTTTTATTCTCATGCTGTCACCAGCATGCCTTAATCATATAGTATTAACTATAAAAATAGGCTTTACCTAAGATTCAGATTATTTGCATTTACAAAAAAAAAGGTATTTTCTTTAGAATATCTAAATACAAACACCTTTCATCATAATTTTAATGATAATGCATATAGGACAAACTTTATGACATGCTTCCCATTGCCCAAATTCTGTTCATCTGTCAAGTCTAAACAAAAGTCAGTATTTCCCATCAAATCCTTCCTAATTTCAGTTCTCACCAATATCCATCCCTAAAGTATTAAACTATAAGCCTTCATTATGACTGATTTAGTAACATAAGAGGCAGCTACAGTCTACTTGAATTATTAAGGAAACTAATATTGGAACCAACATATTAATGATATTTTTACTGATCAGAAAGGTTATTAATAATTTCGTTAACAAAGATTAATTCGTAAACTATTTGGAAACTTTGCTTGGATTACTATTATGAACGTATTGTGGTTGTTAAAATTCTGTTCTGGATGAAAGCAACTAAGTCCCCTGACCCAGAAAAGAATGTTCAAAGTAATTTCCATGTACTCACACCAACAGTGTGAAGTGCCTCTCCTGACTGGAAGCATATCAGGGCCAAGTGGCAGATCTTTTATAATAACAACTAACGGCAGTCTGCAAAAATAGGAATAGTTTGTTGTCCAGCTTTGAGGAGTGCTAGTTAACCGAACTCAGTCAGATCTCCTACCCAAGAGCAGTGATAACCGTGCCCAGAAAAGACATTGACTAATACTTCCTTTTCTGCTATAAACTAGCTCATCACCATTGTAAATCACCAAGAGCTTAGTGCAATGAGTAAAATCTAGGAAGACTCCTTATGCCTTGACTTCTAAGAAGGTCACTGCTAAGGTTTATGTTTGACTGAAGCAGTTTTTCTTCGCTTGGATAAAAGTACGCCTTCCCCTCAAGCCCTATGCACACACATACTTTAATACCTGGCTTTGACTCCGTGAGCCATGTTTTTCTTATTTTATCTTCTGCTAAAGGCCATTTCAAATCTATGAGGAAATGGGAAAGATGTAAATCATAAATAAACTATGAATACAGGATTTTAAAACTTTTGTACAGCAGTCTCAAAAGTTTTGTCAAAATTTCCACATGGAACCCCAAACTATTTTCAGACTACATTTATACAATGCAAGATTAAGCCAAAGAATGCAGAGTTTGGGGAGGTAATATCTATCAAAGCAAACAGTTGTTAACCTACAGATAAGACAACTCTCAACACAAATTTCTCACATTTAACATCTAAAAATTATGTAGCACCCTCACAGTATCAAAGTCTTGTTGTTTAAGTCTACAAATAACCACACACTGTAGATTCTTTTAAAGTGTGTTCTATATAATAAATAACAGGGAATTACAGACAGCTGTTTACTTAACAGTACTCAAGTATTTGTGAGGAGTATCTTAGTCACCACAAACAGGCATGTAACGTGAGCAACAGAGAACAACAAAGACAAGAAGAGCTCAAACAGTTCAAAGATTTATGATGGCAACTTTTATTCATGTGAAGTATTAGAATGAAGACAATCCAACACATTGTAGATTCCTGTTTTTTACATTCAAATGAGACTATGCCTGGAAAAGGCACTCGATAAAACAAAGATTAAGAAATAAATGTACGTTAGTGGTTATATTTAATTTCTCTTTCAATTATTATTCCTTATGAAAAAGATGACTAAGTCACAATGAAAATTATTATGTATTAAGTTACTAATTATCACAAAATAAACACACTAAAATAGGCACGTTGTATGCACATGCATGCTCTGACAAGTCAGTATTCTTACAAGAAGGAGAATACCTGCAATTTGCTCCATGTGGTCAAATGCAGTACTTAGGTGCAGAGAGAATGAAAGCTATTGAGAACACATGCGCTTTCCTCTCCTACATAACTTTGTTATGAGAAAGCAGGTGAATTAGAAAGTTACTAACACACTTTCAACACCTTACATTTCATGTAGCATAGAAAGGCCAACTTAGGATAACTGCCCAGGACTTGTTCTGCTCAGTCCAGATTCTATGACAAAGTACATTTGGGCGCTCTTAGAAATCAAATGATAAATACAGGGATGCTTATATTATAAAATATATAATAGTAAATGTAAATATAATTATTTTATATAAAATATAATTATGCAAAATAAAATGGAAAAAAATTCTTTCATTTAGAAAGCTATTCAGATAATTTTCAACATTAATAAGCAAATAACTTCTATATTTAGTTTCATGTTCCTGTGGCACTGATTTCTGATCAGAATCTATTTTTAAAAAGTGAGGGCACATGAACTTGGTTTGCATGTGCACACGCATAAGCACACACTCACGCACACCAGCAAGGTCAGTATTGTTTTAACAATACCTTTGCAATACTCAAAACAAACATCTATTTAAAAACAAAATCAAAACGAGAAAAGGTCCTAGCAACTGGAAAAAATATAGAAAAACTATTTTGAATAAGAAAAAAATCTATAAAGCTAAAAGAGAAAGGGCATAACCTTTAAAAATATGGAAATGGGACACATGCTCAGAAAAAAGGAGAAACAAGTTAAAGCTGTAAGGCTTTCTGGACAAGCCCAGAAAAGAAAAATGATACATCCACAATGAAATTATATACTATATAAAACAAAAAGGCAGGCATAATTTCCTGTTCAGATGAATTCCTGGATTAAAGTGTCCACAGCAGTTAGATTCAGGCCAACATTCTCAGCTTTGGTGAGAATAAACTCTGATTTTCATATGAACAGGAAGCTGAAGTATAATATTGTTACATACGTTGTGCATATGCACTGAAACTCTTATTTTGCTTCAAAACAACATTATCAGGACATGAAGGTTCGGTGCTTAGCTGCCACTCGGTGAGATAACACCATTATGGCAGAGCTGCCAGCGCTCTCTGCTGTTGGTTCAGCTGTCTCACTAATGCTTTCAGAGGGGAAACTGAAAGAGGAGTTTAATGTATGTAACAATATTCTTTACAGTCAGTATACAGCCTACAGAAAGTTATCACTCGAAGACAATTCCACAAATTTTACTTACAAAGCTTCTTCCACAATTCTAAATTTTAAAATAAACATTTTGTAAGTGTCAACAGTTATCAGCATTTTTCAGTGTACTACTTAAGAAAAGAATATAAACATTATAACAGAGTATCAATACTTAGGCATTTTGAATGAGTAAAATACAACTTGTATATAATTTTCACTCATTTGTGAAAATGGTAATCTCACCAACTGGAGAATATGTATTTTGAGGATTGTTATTAATGGTGCCATAAGACATGAACTCATCACTGAGGCTCACCTTTCACACTAGTCGGCATTTATTATAGCTGGCCGGTGTTAGAGAAACAGTACATACCCCCAGAACAAGATTTTTCTCCTACTGAAGTCAAGTGGTACAGAGAAGCACAAGGCTGCAATGACTGTCTTCTCAGGACTATCTCAGAAGCTGAAACTCACTGAGTAGAAATACTAATAAACCGGGAAACATTTAAGAACCACAATTCCATACTGATTTTTACATGATCAAATGCCAAGAGCTTGTTCACGTAAGTTGCAAATAATATGCTTCCGTATGTCCCTTCTAATAGTATAGATAATCCGGGGTGGGGGCGGAATCAGCCTTACATGTATCCTACAGTGGATACTGAAGGTGGTAGGGGGCATTGCTAATCACAAGTGCGTGTGTGTGAGGTGCTGAAAACAGCAGCTACAAAAATCTGTACAAATCTATACTGAGTACCTGTAATACTCATGACACTAGGACCTCAGCTATAAAAATCAACAAAACACACTACCTACCCTAAAGGTGCTCAGAGTCCGAGTGAGAGATGGACCAAAAAAGAAAAAAAAAATCACTGATTACAGAAAATATGAAAAAAGTGATTGACAAACGCATGGAGAGAGTAATGACGAGAGTAAGAAGAAAGAACCCTAAGAACCTGGTCAGGAGATTGTCTGAAATGTAAAGGGCATTTGAACTGTCTTGAAGGACCAACAGGAGCTACCCAGATGACTGGGAACAGTTCAGGAAAAGGAATAGCATGAGAAAAGCATTTTCGACCTGGCTAGAACAGAGGACATGGAGTTACAGCCAGAAACAAGGTGAGAAAGGCCACACAGACAGGGACTGAGCTTTGGGCAGTGGTCTGTTGACCATGCGCAAGGCACCATTCTGTGAAGTACTGCAAACAAAAACACATGAATCTCAATTGTTTTCTGCAGGCCACACTGGCCACCCTCAGTTCAGAGGTAAAGTCACCTTTAGTTCCTGAGTAAAATCTCAGCAGGCTCAACCTCCCTAAGAGAAGCCTACACCCATTTCCACCTACGAGTAAAGCCCTTAGACCTGTACTTAGCTCGTGATACGAAATATCTGCGCAATAGATGCTTTATGAAGAGTAACCAAAATCTGTACAAACCAATTCTCATCCAAAGCTCAGTGAGTAAAACACCATTTGTGGAGAATGATTTGAAGGACATGCAGTCTCTCCATACCTTTAGAGTTAAGACAATGTTTTGAGCTCTTATGAGGCTGTTTTTACTGAACTACTCTTTCTCCTTCTGCCATTAGCCCACGTGGGCAAGCGCTCTGAGGCTACGTGGAACAGTTAACATTAAAGATGCTGTGAGGCTGCTGGGCACGACAGTGCACAATGTCCTCTGTGAGGAACCAAAGATCTTTCTCTCAAGTCCTTCAGAAATGGTCATGGTTTTTCCGAGCATGTGGTTTGCTTTAATCTTATGGCCCTTGTCAATGATACCATTCAGTTCCCTTATATAGAAGATGCCAGAAAGCTCAGGACCAATTTATAGACCTATATTTTATAGGAATGTAGAGCTTATATCTTATGTCTTATGTATACAATAACCTTGTAACATATAACCTGTCTATTAAATTCATCCCTTTACCTTTGTTTTCTTATGTCGTGGTGCTGCTGTTACTGTACGTACATATTTATGTTTGCCACTTTAAGTCTTTATTGCAACAGAGCAGGGTATAAAATTACAGCAATCAAGCAGCTGATTGGTTCAAAAAATTTAAAGAGCATCTTTTTTATGCCAGGTCTCTGCTGAAGGCTAGGGTAAAAACTGTCAGTGGACCTGACTTGATGCTTATGGTCAGGAAACTGAGAGTTATGGACAAAATGGATAATTAAACAAGTGATAATACCATAGGAAAAACATTTATATAGGGCAAATATAGTAGGAAAAGCATTCACATAGGGAACACAGAAGACGAAGATAGCTGGGAAGGCTTCCCAAATGAACTATTATCTAAGCTGTGACCTCCAGGCTGAGTAGGAGAAGTTCTGCTATAGTGGGGAAGGCTCAGAGTACAGTACACTCTGGGCAAGGAAAGCAGTTCAGTGTGTCTGGGACAAATGGTGTAACTAAGGAGACAGCAGATAGGCCAGAGAGGTAAGCAAGGACCAGGGCACAGAGGGCCTGGCAAATCATGTTAAAGAAGTAGATTTAACCTTGGAGCACTGTGAAACCCAGAAGGTTTTGCCGGGTGCTGACACAATCAGATTTGCACTGTAACATTTACTGAGTGCTTGCTATTTTCCAGGCCCTGTGCTAAGTGCTTTTTGTGCCTGACTATGCTGAATCCTCAGAAGAGTCCTATAAAATCATAGAAAGTAAGCACTATTATTACTCCTATTTTACAGAAGATGAAAATGAGGTTTAATGAGGGAAAGGAATCTAACCAGCCACACTCCTAGTCCTAGTGAAGCCAGGATTCTAACCCAGGTCTTTTGACTCCAGGGCCTGAGTGCCTAATTCAGTGTGCTGCCACATTCATTTAGAAGAAGGCTTGATTGATAATGATGGTAATGACTCTGTGGTGTGAGGAATATAGGAGGAAAAGCAATTTAGGGGGAATGACAAATTCAATTCTGAACATATTGAAGTGCCTGCAGAACCTCCAAGTGGCAAAAATCACATATATGGCTCTGAAGTAAGAAAGGGCTTTTGGACCAAGGGTTTAG